TATTTTTTTAAATTTTTTATGTTTTTTTTTATAAAATGTTTTTTCTTTTTTTTTAATAAATTAAATAATTAAATAATTAGAAACGGGCCCCACTAACGGAAAAATTAACGGAACTAGACGGAGGTACTGAAACCTATAGTTTTGTCATTTTGGAGGTACTAATTTAAAATAAAATTTTAGATGGGTACTAAAATTCAATTACCCCCATTTTCACTACTACATTTTTTATCAAATGCAACGCCAAAAAATGAGCTATTGCAACGCCCTATTCAATGTCGTCGCAATAGATAGCCTATTGCAACGGTAGGGTTAACTAATACAATAGTCAATTAAATTAGTTATTGCTACACCTCTATACTTGTACATATTGCTGTTTTCTCTATTCTGTAAATTCAAAATGATCTGGTAATCTTTTTTGCTCTACAGTTGTAGTATCAGATCTTGTGCTGCCATTTAACTGTCTCTAATTAAACTAATTTGGTATGAGAGGGTATATCCTAAGCCCTCTCTCGAAGTTGCTTACATAGTTATATAGTGTATCTTAAGTCCTGTCTGCCAAATACATGAGATGTCTATAGTGGTATGAGTGGGTGCAGGAGGTGTGCGCAATAGTCTCTACAGGGTGAGTGAAGGGGTTTGTCAATCTGTGCTTGGTGAAGGTAGTGGGTCTTGTAGGTCATTTGATGGTAAAGAGTGGCAGTGGTTAAACTTGGCGTCCGGTGGCCTAACTATGGTGGTTATGCTCTGTGGGGTATTGTAGGGGATGTGAGAAGATGTTGATGTAATCAGGTGGCTTTGGCGATGAGTTGGATGGTTCTGGAGGGTGTCAAGGATTGCTAGTGGTTTGGTGTCAGTATTGATAACTTAGCTTTGGAGGCAATTTATGCTTTTATAATTTATATATCATAAAAGCTTGTCAACTCTTCAAACTTAGGTCCTAGTTTTTGTGTTTTTTCTTCTGAAAGCATTCCAATTTTCCAAATGATTAAACTTGCCAAAAATTAATCTTAGTTGTAATGGATGGAATTTGGATTGGTTGAAATCCCTTTTATTGGTTTGTGTAAGCATAATGTTTGCACCTAGTTGCCCTTCTATAACTCAAAGGGTTGTGCATAAAAAGTTATGAGGTATAATTGTTTGATATAATTCTTAGTACATGTAGAGCATAATTACCATTGTCAATTATTAACACAAATGTTATGTTTTATTCTCTTGAAACTATAATCGTGTAATGATTTTATAATTGATATCAATGATATGGAATATGTCCATAAGCTTTTAATAATTGGATTTTGTGTGCCATTTCTCTGCTATCTTTTAGTTTCAGATTTCATAACTAGACAGTTTTATATTTTGTATTTAGTACATACGAAGTATTTAATTCAGTTTTTATGCTTATTGATAGGGACTGCATTGTGGAGGTGGTTGAAACATTAGCCACAACACATAATATTCAAACTATTGCATAGGATGCTGCAATTAGGTGGAAGGAGATTTCTGGTTTTTGTGATCTTCTCTTCCTTGGATTTTGTATATATATATATATATTAGTGTACTCTATTTCCCCATGCTTTGAGATTCATTTTTTGGCTAAATGAAAAAAACACAAAGAAATAAAGAAATATAAAGAGGAAACGGGTGTGGTAAGAAGAAGATACCAGGGAAGTCAATGACCTTGCCTTGTACATCATATGTGATTATGTGAATAAATGGCTAAGTGAGTTTTCTTTTTCTTTTTTTTGTTTCCCTTTCTGTACTTCAGAATCACTAAATACTGATCTAGTTATGAGTATCTTGTCCAAGCTAACTTATTATTTGTTGAATACCTTGGTGTGTGTTGATCTAGGGTCTAGGGCCTTATACTGCAGTAGTAAAGGGGGATAATGAAGTAAATCTTGCATATTTACCTTTTTGTTGTTACTTTCTTTCTCTTAGTGAAGTTGATAACCTGTTATATTTGTATAATAGCTCTATTAAATAATTTTTGCGGTGGCTTTGTCGGCTTACATTTACTTATCTACTAGCTCATAGGAGTATAATTCCTCCCTTAAATTTCTCCTACTCATGGATTCATCTCTTTAGCATCGTTCTCGTGGTGTATGATACATGTAGCAAAGTCAGGGACATTAGAAAATTCTCTACCTAGCAATTCTTAGCCTTGTTTCTACTTTCTTCTATGCTAGTGTCTATTCTATCGATTGTGACAATTTCTACATACCATGAATATGAATTTTGGAGATTTGATAAGGTGTAAATTGCAGGGAAGAGATAGCCTGTGATGAAGCTGAGCTCGGGGAAGAAGAATTTGCTAAAAAAATGCACAACCAGCATGATCTACAAGCACATGTAGAGTTTAATTAACACTTTCAATGGCTGTGAGTAATTGTTGCTGAGTGTCACATGAAAATAGAGATGTTAAAGTATATGGGTAAATTTCACACGGATGACTAATCGGCTATTCTTGAGAAGGTATAATTTCTCTCTTCAGCTTGGTTCTGACTAATCTGTTGTTTACTATGGCTGCGATTTTCTCTAAAAGCATAAATGTAAAAAGTGTCACATGAACAAAGATGTTACGGTTTTTTGACTCCTTGCAAGGTTGCATGCTGAATTTGTGTATTGCTTAAATGAGGTTGCAGTTCTTGACTGCTCTTACCTCTTAGTGAGTTAGTTCTGGTGTTTAATTCTTGACTGCTCTTACCTCTTATTCCGTCTTGGTACCTCAGTTAGTTCAGGTGGTGCCTTTATTATGTGTAGTGAGATAATTGATGTAAATGAATGAAAGTATTGTTTGCATGCAACTTTTTCTACATCTATATTGTTATCTCCTTATGTGTGTCCTTGTGTTGTGCTAATGGAGAGGCACTAGACTCGTTTTCATGGACGGTTAGCTGGGTTGTCCCTGTTACTGTTTTTGGTCATAATCTGGCGCAGTATAAAAAAAAAATTTAAGCAATGTACGGGGGCATTAATTTTCTGCACCGCATTGATTTTTTTTTTTTTTTTTTTATTGATGGGAGAAGAATGATAAGGAAATTCTTGGTATAAATTTTGGCATCTTTACAGACTTACAGTTTTTAGCTTCTCTTAGGTGCACACTTCTAACAATTTTCCTACTGTGCCCCTTCCAGAAATAATGGTGGCAACTTAATTAGTTCACCTACAGTGCATGAATCGGTGCTTTTGATTCCAGAATACCTTTGACTACTACTTAGTTCTATTTCTTGTTGGTTATTTAGCTAGTACTTTGTTATATTCCGGGGTGCTATTTTGTTTTTCAGACTTGGAATGCTTATCTTTTGGTAATTAATGTGGCTACTGCCACTATAAATTAATAATATTTTCCTTTTTGTGTAAAAAAAAAATTCTTTGCTGCCATCTTTTAAACAACCATAATCTGAGCTATGTTGATTGTGGGCTTAGTCTATTATAATTTATAATTTAGTTTAATTATATTTCTTTTATTTTTTTCAATTTTACGTGTAGGTGCATGGGGAGTGAAATGGAGCGGAAGTATAGTGACTAGCCATATAACAAATGGTGCATATATGTTGGCGACTCTTATTCAAGTTCCGGCTTTGTGAAGATTTGGATATTTCGGCTTATATATATGTTGACAATTTGTATTTTGGACGATCAAATTAATTATCTAACTTTTATTTATTATTAGTAGGGTATGTCATACCAAAAATAGGCAAGTAATATTTTGTAATGTACGTATTTTGCATTATAATTATTATATATAAATGATACTTTAATTTGTTTATGTTAGTATATTTAGATTTGTACCGACTAATTAATATTATATTACCATTTCATCCCAACAAAAAAAAAAAAAAAAAAAAAAACCCAATGATCAATCCGTTGCAGTAGATACGTACTCCTATCATTGTATTAATTAGCTTCATCCGTTGCAATAGGTTCAATTTCATCATAATTATTAGTCAGTACTCTATTGCCACGGATAAGTTATGTCGTTGCAATAGGTATTGGTCTATTGCCACGGATCAGTGGAGCCGTGGCATTAGGTGTCATATGCCGTTGCATTAGACCTACTGCAACGCCAGCAGATGCCACGGTACATTGCCGTTGCATTAGGCCTAATGCCACGGATTTTGACGCCTAATACAACGGATTTGGGGGTTGCAATAGATAAAAAATGTAGTAGTGTTTTGAGGTACTAAAATTCAAATTTTCCTTAATGTTATTATGAAGTTAAAGTACGACGCTATGTTGAATAGTGACCTAATTTTAACATAGTGATCTTTATTATTCATATTGACCATTATACTAAAAATTTCATTAAAAAATTAACATCTTATAGCTTTTATAATGTCATACTAACTTTTATTTCAACATAATAACCTTTGTTTTAATATAGTGACCTTTATTTTTTATTAATAAAACAATCATATTGTCTCTAATGTTGGTGGTCACAATAAATTAATGTGAACCAGGTTCATTTAAGAATTTGTACCCCCTAGGCCAGGCTGGACAATATCTTCTATTGGATATATGATGAAATCCACTAACAAACTGTAGTATCCTCTACCAAATATAAATTATACATACATTTTATCAAATATTACATATCCTATAACAAACAATACATATCCTACAACAAAATTGTACGTATCCTTTATTAAATAACATTATATATCCCCCAACAAGTTGTACATATCCTCTATTAAATATTATAGATCAGATAATGCATATCATATACTACCTCCGGTTCGTATTATATGCAACTTTGGAATTTTTTATGTCCCACAAATATTACACCAAAGTTGCATATAATAAAAACCGGAGGTAATATATACTTGATGGACGGATTGTTTGGTGAAGACTTTTTTTTTTTAATGATATACATTTGTTGATTAGTGTTATTGTATTTCAATAAGTACGGCTTAAATAAACATAACTGATAACCGCTGACTTTGACTTAACTAATAACGTTCAATTACTTAAGAGTACTCCGTTAGTCCGAATTATTTTAAGGGTTGTAACGCTGCCTTAAATTGACTGAATACATATATTTTTTATTTATTTATTTTGGTGGTACATAAAATGAATATCTTACCTTGTCATAGCCGTTACTCCGTACTATATATATAGCTGATCATCCAAAGTTGGTAATCATCAAATCATTACTTAATCAAATAAAGAACACGAGAGTAACAAAATTTAATAAACAAGAAAAAGAGAGAAAATTAATAAAAATGGCCCCCACATCAGCATTTGTAACACCTTCAACGTTAGCCAAAGAAACCACATTAAAAGATGGTTACATTATAGATGAGAGGGATAAGGCTAAGGTTGCTCATAATGAGTTTAGTGATGACATTCCGGTGATCTCGCTAGCCGGAATCGACGAGGAGCATCCCGGAGGTAGAAGAGAGGCAATCCTGAAGAAAGTTGTCGAGGCGTGCGAGGAATGGGGGATCTTTCAATTGGTTGATCATGGTATTGATGTTGAGCTCATCAATGAAATGACAAAGTATACTAAGGAGTTTTTTGCTCTTCCTGATGAAGAGAAGCTCAAGTATGAGATGTCTCCTGGAAAGCATAAGGGTGGTTTCCTTATCTCTAGTCATCTCACGGTAAATTTACTTGTATTTTCATGCACATACATAATATATAGCCATAGTCAAAGTTACACACTTACACTACATAATTAATCTTCCAATTCAATTCTTTGAATTGTTACATGTACAATATACACCGTTAGATTTGACATATATAATAATTCGTATTTATATTCAAGTCTACTTATTCAAGTGGCCTAGAAAACAGTAAATAATACTTGTTTATGATGGTTAAATACTGGCAAGGTAAGTATCAATATATTTATTCAATAACACGTTTTGAAATTAATTGAGTAAAAATGTCTCATGAAATATCTTATAACACGGTAAATTAAAATGTCTAATGAAACGTGTTGTAACAGGGGGAGGCAGTGGCAAATTGGCGTGAGCTAGTGCTCTTCTTCACATATCCGGTACAAGGGCGAGACTACTCAAGATGGCCTAGCAAACCTGAGCAATGGAAGGCCATGGTTGAAGCCTACGGCGAAAATATGATGAACTTGTCCTGCAAGATGTTCGAGCTCTTGTCCGAGGGTTTGGGGTTAGACAAAGATGCCTATGCAAAGTCAATGGGTGATATTAGCCAGCATTTGGTGGTTAACCATTACCCTAAGTGCCCACAACCCGAGCTAGCTGTCGGTCTTAAGCGACACACCGATCCAAGCTCCATTACCTTGCTCCTCCAAGACCATGTTGGTGGGTTACAAGCTACAAAAGATGGTGGCAAAACTTGGGTCACCGTTCGACCTATCAAAAATGCTTTGGTCCTTAACCTTGGTGATCATGCCTATGTAAGTCAAATCTCTAACATTTACTTTTTGAAAAAATTAAATTTTGATTTAGTATAGTACTTTGTACTTGTTTATGTCGTACATTATTGCGTCTATATGGCAAGGACATGCCAGTATATTACAATGACAATTACTACCTCCGTTTTTTATTATGTGCAACAAAGGAATATATTATGTCCCATAAATAATACCACTTTGTTGCACATAATAAAAAACGGAGGTAGTATATATTTATAACCGTTACTAAAATGACGTAAAAGACAACGTTACCCTCTCTAAATTGACAATTATATATTTAAATCTTTGTTTTGTTAAGAATACTAGCATATTTTATTAATGCTTAGAACATAATGTTATGAGCAGTTCATGAGCAATGGAAGATTCAAGAGTGCCGATCATCAAGCAATCGTGAACTCGATCGAGACACGAACGTCGATAGCAGTATTCATGAATCCAGCACAAGATGCAAAGGTTTATCCGCTCAACGTAAAAGAGGGAGAGAAGGCAGTGTTGGAAGAGCCTATCACGTATGCTGAGATGAATAACAGGCACAAGAATAGGTATCTCGAAATCGTTCGACTAAAGAAATTGGCTAAGGAAGAAAATTGGTCACAAGAAGAGCTTGATCTCAAGCTTAGCCAGCTTAATTAAATCGATTTAATTCAGCTTGATCTAATCGTGCAAATATATTATTGTTCAATGTGAATAATTGAGACAATATGTCCAAGAAATTGATTATTATTAAGGGAAATTACCATTAAAGTTTGCAAATAAAACAAAGTTCCAGATCGAAGTTTTTTTTTTTTTTTTTTCTTTTTTTTTAACCCCCTCTCTTTATGGTTTTATAGGTTAGCTCATTGAATCATTCATTATGTAGTAATATTGGCTTTTAAAAAGTGCATAGTATTAAAATTTTGCAAATGTGAGATATTGTTTATATTTTGTGTAAATGTAAGTACATATGATTTAAGGTATGTTTACATTTACTGAATTGAGCTAAAATGAACTGATTGGAGCTGAACTGAATTGAACTGATTGGAGCTGAACTGAATGAATTGAACCGAACTGAACCTAAACTGATTGGAGCTGAACTGAATTGAACTGATTGGAGCTGAACTGAACTGATTGAAGCTAAACTGAACTGAACTAAACTGATTGGAGCTGAAGTGAACTGGGCTGAAATGAATATTTTATGAGAGAAAGAAATTAGGAGCTGAATTGAACTGATTGGAGCTGAACTGAACTGAAATTAAGCTGAAGTGAACATGTCTTACTCATTACTCCCTCCACTTTAAATACTTGCTCTACTTTCCTTTTCCGGCCGTCTTTAAATACTTGCTCAATTTTCTTATTTAGAAATCTTTTACAATATTTAATTAATTTATCTCACCAAGTGGACCCAACAATATTAATTCCATATTCTCTCTCCTTTAATTCTCTCCACTATTTTTGTTTTTTTTTTTTACAATTTTTTTATTCTTCTAACAACCCACTCTCCATATTTTATTATTTTCTCCAATTTCTCTTAAAACTCCACGCATGAAGAAATGGATCAAGTATTTAAAAAGGAGGGAGTATGAGTTTTTTAAAATTCATATGATTAGGAGTACAAAATGTATAATTGATGTGTGTGCGTTTTTATTACTTAAATTTTAGGGAAAAAAACCCCTTAGAAATTAATCTTTTAATGGCATATCATTGTCAACTTTATTGATCAGCGTACCTTATTACTACCTCCGGTTCGTATTATATGCAATTTTGGTGTAATATTTGTGAGATACTACGTATAAAAAAATTCCAAAGTTGCATATAATATAAACCAGAGGTAGTATATTTTTCAACAAAATTGCAGAGAGAGATTAAGGAATAAAATAGGGTATTATGGTCAGTACAATTCATAAATGGGACAAAATAGAAATAGACACATCAAATTGGGATTCCTTCTAAGGAAAACAAGTACTCCTTCCGTGTTTTTTTTAAGTGTTACACTTATCAAATCCGGCCATGTTTTAATAAGTGTTACACTTCTTTTTTTTGGCAAAAAACAACATTAAAATATTATATCTATATCCTCTCATGGTCCCCACCCAAACACACTACTACTTTTTTTTTATATATTGTATCTCTCCTCTCACATTCATTACTTTTCAATAAACTATTAACCCCACTATCTTTCTTTTATAATTTTTTAATACTCCGACTACCCCACTTACCTCTTATTTTATTTAAGTCAATTAAATTGCCTAAAACTATGTGCCGGTCAAACTGTAACACTTAAAAAAATATGGATAAGTACATCATTAAGTGTTGGAGAGATTATTATTTATTTATTTATTTTATCTTATTATGACATGTATTTGCAAACCAAGAACTTTTTTTAAAAAAATAATTTTATAAAATAATTAATGTTATATAAAAATTTATAAAAGAATGAACTAACCATATCATGACACATGTCATGGTCAACCACAATGAATAACGAGCTAACGACCATTTGTCACTAAGGGTACTTTGAGGTATTTTTGAAAAGTAAAGGATATTTGATGAATTTCAAAAACTCATGTGTATGTATTTGGTGAAATTTAAAAAAGCTCGAGACTATTTGGTGGAAAAAAATAACCGTATTATAGATAAAGAGAAAGTATGTGTCAAAAAAAAAGACAATTAGTTTACATTATGCAAATTCAATAAGCACAAACTGCAAAAGTCAAAGCGTTCTAATTTTAGTGATACATTTTTTCCATTTCCACCATTTAAAGGTTGTGTCAAATTATATGAAACTCCTTAGATTGGAGTGTATTCCGATCCATTGATTAATTTATATAGGGTTACAACGATTAGTCCTAATCTCATTAGGAAATCTCAAAAGATATTTACAAAATATTCACAAATTATATCATTCTATACAGAATATTGACTAGAATAATTATCATATTCAATCACACCCCCGCAGTTATAGTGGTAGGAGGATGTACGCTGAGACTGGATATGAATTTCAAAAATAATTGGCTAGGTAGGCCTTTAGTGAAAATGTCCGCAAACTGATAACGTGATGGAACGTGCAAGACCTGTACATGCCCCAACGCCACCTTTTCACAGGACGAAATGAATATCCATTTCAATGTGCTTGGTGCGTTGGTGTTGTACGGGATTATGAGAAAGATAAATTGCACTGACATTATCACAATAAATGATAGTGGCCCGCCGTAGAGGACAATGTAACTCTAAAAGAAGATTATGAAGCCAACATGACTCGGCAACAACATTTGCGACGCCCTTGTATTTTGTCTCTGCACTTGATTTTGAAAGCGTAGGTTGATGCTTAGACGACCAGGAAATGAGATTGTCCCCTACGAAGCAACAATAACCCGAGGACGGTCGACGAGTGTCCGGGCACCCGCCCTAATCTGCATCAGTATAAGTAATCAAGTTTGTAGGAGCTAAGGATATAAATGTAACCCGTAATAAATGGTACCCTAAATATATCGCAAAATGCGCTTCAATGCATCATAATGAGCCTCTTAGGGATCGTGCATGAATAAGCAAACCTGCTGAACTTCATAAGCTATCTTAGGGCGAGTAAAGGTGAGGTACTGTAAAGAACCTGGAAGATTACGATAAAGTGTTGAATCACGAAATTGAGGTCCACAGTCAGCATTAAGCTTGGATTGAGTGTCCACTGGAGTCGCTGCCACTACTAAAAATGAAGGTTTTTGCGACCGTCTCAAACGGTCGCAAAAAATAGGGAAAACGGTCGCTAACAGTATTTGTGACCGTCAACAATTGCAACAAGCCGGTCGTAATTTTCATGGTCGCAAAAATTAAAAATTACGACCAGTTAACGGTCGCAGATTTTTTGGCGACCGTTTTCCTAATTTTCAACGACCGGTTGAAAAACGGTCGCAATTTTTATTTATTGCAACTGTTTTCTGGACGGTGGCAAAAAAAATCTGATTGCGACTGTCTTGACGGTCGCAAAAATTATTAAAAAAAAGAAATAAAAAAAGCTGAATGTACTACCCTACCCAGCCAACCCATCCCCTGCTATACAACCCCACCAGAAACTTTTACCACCATCGGCATCCCACCCTTAACAACCTTAACCCCCCACCACCACCTAAACTAACCCACAAAATGTGACAACAAAAATCAAACAAAACCCACATTGAACAAAGATCAAAAACAAAAATAAAAACAAAAACGCACAAAATCAAACAATATATCAACCGAATATTAAACCAATTAAAAAAAACATCAATAGAAAACAAAAAGAAACTAGAAAAAAATAACAAAAAATCAAATTTAAAAAAAAAATATAACAAAAAAAATAGAATCCAGAAAAACGAAATCAACACAAAAAAAACAGAAACAAGAAAAAAGAAATTAACAAAAATAAAAAAAAAATATCAGAATTAAAAATGTAACAAAAAATCAAACCCAGAACAAAATTAACAAAAAATTAAAAAAAAAATAACGACAATCAAATCTAAATTGAACAAAAATCAAACATAAAAAATCATGCTTGAACAAAAAAATTCGAACAAAAACCCAAACAGAATTCGACAATAAAAATCAAATCAAATTTGAGAAAATAACTTTTAAACAAGAAAATGTACCTCAAACCCCGATTTGACTTCAAAATTCACCTCGAATTTGGTTTAATAAGGCCAAATTCGACCATGAAAACTCTAGATCTAGAGTTTTCATAGTCGAATTCCACCTTTAAACCATTAACTTGTTATACCACCGCCTACGAATTGAACCAAGCAAGACAAACGGACCCTGAGGAAGAAGTCGACTCGCCAATAGAGGAAAGAGAAGGAGAATTGGAAATAGAAGGAGAAGAGGTGAAAATTTGGAGCGTGAGAGGTAAAAGTTCTGGCGTGAGAAGAGGAGTGAGAAAGGAAAGAGAAGAGAGGAGAATAGGAGAACATTGAGAAGAGAGAGAAAGAGAGGAGAAGATGAGAGGAGCGGCTGTTCAATATTTTAGGGTTAGAATGCACACTTATATACATTTATTTTTTTAATAAAAATAATAACACATTTGCGACCGTTTTACCAGTCGTAATTTGTTGCAAATTGCAACCGTTTCTGAAACGGTCCCAATTAATTTAATTTTGAATTATTTTTCATATGAATTTTATTTAAATTATTGCTTAATTACTTTTATGACCGTTTTATAGCCAAAAAACGGTCTCAAATCTGCGACCGCTTTAAAAACGGTCGCAAATCTGCGACTGTCTAATAACCGGTCGCAGATTTTATATTTTGCGACCGTTTTTGAGGCAGTCGTAAAAAATCGGTCGCAATTTGACCGAATTTTAGTAGTGTGCAGGCTTACAACTAGCCATTCCTGCACGCATTAAAATTTCCCGGGCATATTTTTGCTGCGACAAAAACAAATATGAAGGAGTACGAGTGACAACAATTGTAACACCCCCAAATCTCTCTCTACGAAAATACCAGTATAATACGTATAATTATACCGTAGAGATAGACTTTGGCGTATTACCTCCGCATGATTACGCAAGGCTACTAAAAATACTTAACTCAATAACAAAACTTGCAGCGGAAACTCTACTATCTTTTATTAATACTTATAAAAATAGTAACATTGTTATAAGTACTCGAGACCAACATTCCTAAACTAGGTGAAGCAAACCTCGGGACTCCCATATGCTCATTCATGACTTCACTTGAAAATAGTCAACACTGCTTACCATTACGGTAAACAGGGCGAACCAAAACAAATAAGAAATACGGATTAGCAAATTATGCTAAGTACGATAAGTGCAAGATAATGTAAACTTAATTTATTTACAAACATGCTTTTAAAATAATTCCATATTAATCCAATAAATTCCAAACTCATTATTCCAAAACCGATTCCAATGATTCAATATTCGAAATAAAATAAAACCAATTTCTTTATTAAGAACCAATTTCTTTTAATCCAATTCCTCACCCA